TTCTGCTCCTGAATCAGCTGGGTGGGTCTTGCCTCTAGCCTCTTTGCAGGGAGTTCTGCTGAAGGATTCCGTGCTGAATGCAGCCTGGGTCAAATGAGGATCCCCAGGCCTGGGTCATCTCATTCACTCACCAGTCCTGCGCTCTGGGTCTGTTCAGGATCCCGCGACCCTCGGTTGTCTCACTCATGCCAGGCTTGCGCTCTGGGTCTGTTCTACATTGTATATTGTTGTCTTAGTGGTTATTTGTTTCCAACATTTTTGAATGCTACTTTTTTTTTTAAACCTATGTTTTCTTTAGATGTGCTGTGCAATTCTTTCATGATTGTAGTCTTTTTTTTTTTTTTTTTAATCTGAGAGATTATTTGTGGACTGATTTCTTCCATATCCTGATGGGGCTTTTTCTTTACTTCAATTGCTATCATTTCAAAAATTTTAGGTTTATGACCTTTTTCATTTCTGATTTATTCCAAATTCCTCTATGCTCTTTTCTCCAGGACTTGTTCTAGGTGAGCTAGAGGTCTGATAATGCATTTTGCTCCTGCATTTTGCCATTTTTGAAGCTTCCAAAGTTCACCAAGTCTCTGGGCTCCTCCTGTGATGGTGAGGGAGTGGGGTGAAGCTCACTAATGCTCCTGAAGCTCTCCGGGGCTCAGCTGTCTCCTGTAAGGTAGAAGCTGTGGGTCTGGCCTTCCAAGGTCTCTTGAAGGTATGTGTGGGCCAGTCCTGATCCTGTGACTCTGTGTGTGTGTGTGTGTGTGTGTGTGTGTGTGTGTGTGTGATGTTCTTTTGGAGCTCCTGCAATAGTGTGGGGTCAGGGCATGTGTCATGGAGGCTCCTGGGGCTGTCCACTGCTCAGCCTGGTTCCCACTATGTTGGGGGTGTGGGACAGGGCTCCTGAATTTAGTTATTAATTGGAGGAGTTTCTTGGAAAAATTTTTTGGGTCTTCTATGTAGAGAATCACATTGCCTATAAATAATAATTTGACTTCTTTTCCTGTATACACATCCCTTTTATATAATTTTATTTCCTCCTCTTACCTGTTTTCCCTGGCAAATGTTTCTATTACTATATTGAACTGGGTTGGCATTCTTGTGCTGTTCCTAATTTTATTTTTTTATTTTTTATTTTATTATTATTATTTTTTTAATATTTATTTATTTTTATTTATTACATTTATTTATTGTGTGTGTGTGTGGCCAGCTCAGCCCACC